CTCTATCTTTATGTTAATACGTTTTGCTATCTAACCTGTGGGTCAGAATCTGGCCAGCTCCCCACACAGACAAGCTGGTATTTTTTATTTGTTTGTTTGTTTATTTTTGTACCAGGAATAGAACTCAGGACCTTGTGCTTGCCAGGCAGGTGCTTGTGCCTCTGAGCTGTCTCCACGCCCCCGTGCTGGTAATATAAATGTATTCTATTGTCAAGATGATAACACAGGTTCATCAGGCCTATGGCCATCGGAGCTGAACTGTTTTCTTTTTCTTTGTTTCCCTCTTTCCTGCTCCAGTCCTTGGGCTTCTGCAGAAGCCACAAAAGCCCACCCGTCCAAAGTCTGGGACCTTTTCCTGGGGGAAGAGGGGCAGGGGCAGATGCAGAGGGCTGAGGTACTGTGTGCAAGACAGTGGTGTCAGCTTCTGAAGCCAGGAGCTTCTAGGTCATGCTGACTGCTTTCACCCAGCAGGCTGAGTTGTCACAAGAAGAAATATCTTTTTATGTTTTTTGAGATAAGAGGTTTTGCTTGTTTGTTTGTTTTTGCGGTACCAGGGATTGAGCTCAGGACTCTGCGCTTGCCAGGCAAGTGCTTATTCCACTGCGTTATCTCCCCAGCCCCTGAGACAGTCTTGATATGCAGTTCAGGCTGGCCTCCAGTTCTCAGAGATCCTCCCGCCTCAGCCTCCTGAGGGCTGGGACGACAGGTGCGCACCCCCACACCCAGCAGAAGAAACATCTTTGGAAGCAGCCTCGCACACCCTGACATAGCCGTAGAAGCCTTCCGCTGCCTGTCTGGGGAGAGTCCCTTCAGCGCGAGCCTCGATTTGGTGGACAGCCCCTCCCCCAGCTTTCCTAGGCAGAAGCGCATGGGCTGTGATATTTGGCCTGCTGGCATTTTTGTTATCCCTGGCCCACAGATCCCATTTTTTAAGCATTGCCCCATGTCCCTTAACCTCCCTCCTGTGCCCTCTCCACACACCCCGGCCTCGGGTCCCCGGTCTGCTGCGTTCCTGTAAGGTCAGCTTCGGCTTCCAGATCAAGGGAGCCATGCGGTCTTCACCTTCCTGTCCTGCTTTATTTCACTGAGCGTAGCCTCTTCTGGCTCCGGCTGCCTCGCTGCAAGGCTTCCTTCCTCCTGAAGGCTGAAAATGATTCCATGTGCACGCACGTTGTGTTGGGGTGCACTTACCTGGAGAGGGACACCCCTGCTTGTCTGGTCGCCCACCCTGGTTATCGGCGCAGGAGCCACCAAAATGCAGATTGAGGCCTTTCCACTCCTGGATCCAGAGCAAGTTCTCCCTCCTTTTTTTAGCAAAGCAGGGCGCTGTCTTCTGACCTCACTGTCCTCGTTTGTGTTCCCACCAGCTGAGAGAGCGCTCTCCCCTTGCAGCCTGGTCCCGGTGTGTTATTTTGTGTCTTTTTGATAATAGCTACCCTGGATCCACATGTGAGTCAACCTTTGTGTGTTTTAAGAAAAAAAAAATGTTTTTGTTTCGTGCTGGCGATTTAAAGGAAACAGATGTCTGATGTGCAATTGGAGGCCGGCCAGCTGCGTGTTGCTCGCAGCTGCCGCTGAAGCGCTGAGCGGCCTTTTCTCTCTCCTTCTGCCTGGTGATTCTGGCGGCAGTTAACTGGGTCACATTCTTGCTGCCTGCTTGGACTGTTCTGTTTTCTGTTTGCATTCATCTCATGTCATTTATTTTATTTTTTTTTTTTCATTTATTTTATTGTAGTGCTGAGGACCTAATCCGGGGCCTTGTGTGTGCAAACCAAGAGCTCGCTATCTACTGCTGCTTTCTCTATATTTCTTTCTTTACTTAATTATTATTGTGTCTTTTTGAGATGGAGTTTTGCTCTGCAGTTCAGGATGGCCTTAAACTCATTTTACAGCTCTAGTTGGCCTTGAACTCACAGCAAGCCTCCTGCCTCAGCCTCCCGAGTGCTGGGATTCCAGGTGTGTGCCAACATGCCCAGCCGCTTTCTCTTCTTTAATGTTGCTGGAGATAGCACCCGTGCTCTTCACACCCGGTTACATCCCCACCCCTTTGGGCCCAAGCTGGTCTCAGGTTTGTAATCCTCCTGCCTCAGCCTCCCAGGGCACTGGGATTACACCTGTGCCCCACCACAGCCAGCCTCTTCTGTCCACTCTGGCTTTCCCAGGGCTGGAGAGGGAATGCAGGGCCTTGTGCACGCGGGGCAAGTGCTCTGCCACTAAGGCCAGCCCTGGCCCTGTCTGGCCTGTGCCCTGGGTCTCTGACTGGGCTGCCCCTGCCTCCTTGTCCTGCTGCCCACGGGTCTTCGCCTTCCACTTCCAGCTGCTAATTTTGTTCACATGAGTGCTAGACCATTTCATGGCACCTGGCTCTTTTGCCCTGATCACCTGTTGTGCAGCGTGTGTGTGTGTGTGTGTGTGTGTGTGTGTGTGCTGACCAAGCAGGCACTGGGTTTTGGTCACCTGTGTCCCCTCCCTGCACTTCCTTTGAGGTCTCACATCCCAGGGGCTCAGGACTTCTTAAGCTATGGATATGAATTCTATATCAGGGATGGGCTGTATTTTCCCCCTTTGGTGACATGGCCCTAGTGACTTGCGGCCCGGCAAGAAGGCAGCTGGACTGGTGCAAATGAATGTGCATGACTGTGTTCCAATAAAACTTTATTTGTAAACATAGCTGTCTGCACTGGCCCCACAGCTGCACATGGTTGCTTTCTTTCCAGAGGTTTGCTTTTCATTAGCAAACTAGTGTCCAAAAAATGGGGAACAAGGGCACAGGGACAGCTGGGAAAAGTAGTATGACTCAAGAGGCTGTGTGAGTTTTATATCGCTGGGTTTAAAGGAGCAAAAGTTAGCCATACTGTGTGGGTATAGACCTGCAACTTCAGCACTCTGGGAGGGAAGGCAGGAGAATCACAAGTTCGAGCCTAGTTTGAGCAAGACCCTGTCTCAAAATAAAAAATAAAGGAAAGGGCTGGGCTCAGTTTGAAGGCTGTGGGCCCCATCCCCTGTGCCAATAAATGGAAAAATGAATGAATGAGGAAGGAAAGAAGGAAGGAAGGAAGGAAGGAAGGGAGGGAGGGAGGGAGGGAGAGGGGGGAAGGAGGGAGGAGCAAGTTGGGAGAAAAGGCACAAGGTGATTAGTGTGGAATGATTTTTTTTTTTTTTTTTTGGTGATATCAGGTATTGAACTCAGGACCTTGTGCTTGCCAGGGACTTATTCCACTGAGCTATCGCCCTAGCTAGTATGGAATGTTTGAGGTCTAAATGAACACTGTTGGGACTTCTAAAGACAAAAGGAGGTGCTGATGAGATAGCTCAGTGGACTAAAGCACCTACTTAGGCACGCGCGGGACCGCAGTGCATCCCTGGCACCACTTGTAGCCCCTCCCCCGGGGCTGCGCGCGCGCGCGCGCACACACACACACACACACACACACACACAGTTTAGAGACAAAAGGAGTTAAGCACCAGACAGACTTTGAGAGACTTCAGTCTGTGGTGTCGGGAATGGGAATTTTCCTGGGCAGGAAGCTCTGTGCTGGCTCATGGCTCATGTCTCTCTGTCTCTGTCTCTGTCTCTGTCTCTGTCTCTGTCTCACCCTCGGCTTCCTACCTCCGCCTACTCTGCCAGGAAAGGTGAAGGCGAAGGCAGCCTCGAGACACTTCTGCTTTTTCAGCCTCACTGGTAGCACAGGTGATGCCGGCTGACAGTATCTGTTTTTGAGCTCTATCTGGTTTCATTTTGCTTTTTGTATACAGGGGCTCGCTATGCCCCTCAGGCTGCTTTGGAACTCACTTTGTAGCCCTGTTTATTCTTTGTTAAGAACCAAAGTGGTTTTTTGTTTTTTGTTTTGTTTTTTCAGTCTTGAAGATAGAACCCAGGGATTCGCACTGAGCTACCTACCCCTGCCCAGTTTTTAGTTCTTTTTGTTCTGGGGGAGAAAGAGAAAGAGGGAGAAGGAGAGGGAGAGGGAAAGAGAATGAACCGACCAGCCAGGTGTGGTCCTACACAGCTATACTCCCAGCACTAAGGAGGCTGAGGCAAGAGGATTGCTGTGAGTTCAGGCCAGACTGAACTATGCAGTGAGACCCAATCTGAAGCAAAAAGGAGTGCCAGCATGCACTGAGACGGCAAATGAGACTGGGCGTGGTGGTGCACACCAGCAATCCCAGAGCCTGGGATGGCTTCGATTTGAGCTCCCCAGCCTCAGCCTCCCAGAGTACTAGGATTACAGGCATGCACCACCATGCCCAATCTCAATCCCCATCTCAGCACAGCATGTGGGACTGGGGATGGAACCCTGGTCCCTGTGCTTGCCAAAGCAGGCGCTTTAGTCCGCTGAGCTATCTTACCAGCCCTGGCTGACAGCATCTTGATCCTCTGATCCTTTTTACTTTCTCTTCCCTTCCAGCATTCCTCCCAGCTCCACACACGTGGGGCCCTGTCTCCGTCATCAGTCTTCTGTTCTTTAAATTATTTATATGTTGATTTTTCATCTAAGAGAAATCACACAGTATTTACCCTTCTGGGTCTGATTAATTTTACTTAACATTATGGTGGTCTCAAGACCCCTCCACTTTCTTACAAATGACGTGACTATGTCCTTCCTGAGGGCAGAGCAGAACTCCACGAGTGTAAAGCACACACCTGCCTCATGTGCTCATCTGCTGACATAAGGCTGCTTCCGGTTCAGCTCCTGTGCCCTGTCCGCTGTAAGCACAGCTTGCTGTAGCACAGTGTTTTTCACTTTTGAGAAAGATCACCTAGAAGGCCTATAGCTGGGTTGAAAGGAATTTCCAGTTTTAGTGTTTTTGAGGAATCTTTATCCTAATTTCCACAGTGATTTACTAGTTTACATTCTTTCCAGCAATGTAGAAGGGAAAAAAAAATGTGGAGGAGTTCCTTTCTCCCCACTTTCTCCATAGCAGGATGGTTTTTTGTTTGTTTTGTTCCTGATGATAGCTACTTTTTTCTAGAGTAAGATGGAATCTTGGTGTTGTTTTAATCAGCATTCCCTTTTTATTCTTTATTTTGAGACAAGGTTTTTGCTAAGTCACTAAGTTCCCCATACTGGGCTTGAGTTTTTTTTTTTTTTTTTTTTTTTGCGGTACCAGGGATTGAACTCGGGACACTTTACTTGCCAGGAGGTGCTTATTCTACTGAGCTATCTCCCCAGCCCTACTGAACTATCTCCTAGGCCCTTTGAGCTTGAACTTGTGATCCTCCTGCCGCAGCCTCCCAGAGTGCTGAGGTTCCAGGCAGCAAAACTAAAATTATTTCATTTTTTGTTGTTGCATTTTGCAGTGCTGGGCTGGAACAGGGCTCAGACAAGCATGGCAGCGTTCCTCCCCTGAGCTTCGGCCCGGCAGTCCTCTTAGAGCCCTGGTAGGATGAACAGCAGAAGCGTACTAGTCAGTGTGCGAGTGGACACAGATGTGTCCGAAGAGGCCTTCAGTGGTGCCTCTCTGCGCAGGTTAGCAGGTTGGGCAGAGTGACTCCATGCTGGGTCTGGGTTAGCAAAACTTAACCTTGGTTGTCCGCAAATCTGCAATGAAAGGAAGTTACTTAAATATTGTCAGCATTTTCTGCCCTGCTGCTGTCGGAGCAGCTGACAGAGGAGCAGGCTAAGCGGGGACCAGGCATGTGCCATCCCCTTGGTGGCCTATTGCTGAGGGGCTGAGGCCGGTGTACCTGGGGTACCCTGACATCACTGGATGATTCATGGGAGGACAGTGACCGGCCCAAAGCAACACTGCGGGAGCCTGCAGCGGGGCTCCGTGACCCTGGGACGTGGCCACACAGAACACGGTACCTGCGCCATCGACATTGCTGTCCTCAAGCCAGAGCACAGAGCGTCAGGATCTCCTGTGCCCAGCGCAGAAGCAGGGATCTTAGGCTGACAAGTGTCACAGCCGTAGCTGGACAGGAACTCTAAGAGCAAACCCATCCACGACTACCCCAGGAGGGGCTGCCGGTGGTGTGGCACAGGGATGCATTGCGTGCTTAATGTGCTCACAGCCACCGCGCTCCCAAACCCCCAACAAATCTTACAAAAGAGCCGCCCCTCTGACCACAGAGGGACCCTTGCGCTCAGAGGAGATTCTGAGCAGGCTTGGACGGCTGTGTCTGGTGTCCTCTGAGGGGTCTCTGCTGGAGGTGTGGGGCTGGGGCGGTGGTGGGGCCTGGGGGAAATGGGGAGAGACCGGGGTAACGCCCGCAGAAGACACAGACGTGGTTCTCTCTGGGTGAAGTGGGTTCCTGCAAGGGCAGCAGATTCAAGAGAAGAGGTTGGTGTGCCGGGCTTCCTGTGTGTCACTTGAGACAGGTCTCACTGTGTAGCCCAGCGTGCCTCAAACTCATAGTAATCCTCCTGCCTCTGCCTCCTGGGAGTGCTGGGACGAGTCCAGACCAGGCTTCCTGCCTTGCTATGAGCTCATCCTCCCAATCCTGAGCAAGATCTGGCAGATCAGATCGGAGAGGAGGCCCCCACCCCCGAGCGTGTGCTTAGGACCCAGTTTCTCCCACTCACTCCCCTGTTACTTCTCTTGCACAGGGATCATGGCCCAAGTGGCGCTGCCCGCACTGCCCAGGGAAGACACGGAGTCCTCGGAGCGCAAGATGGTGGTCACCTTCCTCATGTCCGCGCTGGAATCCATGGTGAGGCTGAAGGCAGGCTGTGGTCCTGCCAGCGCTGCACAGAGGGGTCACTGAGAACACCGCCCCGCACAACGCCCCGCAGCGTCACTGGCGTGCACATGCTGAGGCGCCTGTCTGTGTGAGCGCAGCCTTCAGAGAGGATGCTGGGCTGCTCACATTATTTATGCACTTTTTCTTTTGCAGTATTTGGGATTGAACCCAAAGCCTTTGCACTGAGCTCCATCCCTCGCCTCGTAATTTTTAGATTGTGAAACAGAGTCTCAGCTGGGCCTGGTGGTGCATGCCTATAATCCCAGCACTCAGGAGGCTGAGGCAGGGGGATCATTGCAAATTTGAGACCAACCCGGGCAACAAAATTAGCTCCATGCCAGCCTAAACTACATAGTGAGTCCATGTCTTAGAAAAAACAAACAAACAGAGGCTGGGCTTAAACTTGTGATCCTCTTGCCTCAACCTCCTAGAGAGCTGGGCTGACAGGTGTGGGCCTCCATGCCAGGCTGGGGCCTTTATTCTGCCTCCCACAAGGCCTCCTGTCCTGTGGTGTTACAGTGGACACGTGCGTGTTCAGGGTCTCCACAGGGAAAGTGGAGTGGGGACACTTTTAGGTTAGCAGGAAGTCCCTGCATGTGGGTGAGCAGACATATGTGTTCCTGCATCAGCCAAGGAGGGGACAGGACCGTGGAGTCAGGGCTGGAGCTGGTATGCAGGAGGCACACAGCAGATGTGGACGGCCGGGCAGAAAGGCGACTTCCTACACACAGGCAGAAGCGGGTCTGGAAAACCCCTCCAACAGCTAAAATAACAGAACTTAAACAGGATCTGCAGACTGTTCTGGCGTCCTTGGGTTGGTAGGACGTAAACCTGCAGCACTGCCATAGACAGCAAACGTGTCGGTGGTAGGAATCACACTTCTGCGTCTCTGTCGTTGGCAATATAAATGCAGTGAGCCACGCTGCAAGGCACAGTCAATTCTCCCTCCGTAGAAAATGATAATATAGAGCTGTCAGCCAGCATGGTGGGGCATGCCTAGAATCCCAGCTCTCCGGGAGGCTCAGGCAGGAGGATCACCAATTTAAGCCCAGCCTGGATAATGTAGCTATTTAGTGAGGCCCTATCTCAAAATTTTGAAAATTTAAAAGGACTGGGGTTGCTGGCCATAGTGTCTTGCTCCTAGAGTACCGGCACTCAGGAGACTGAGGCGGCAGAGTCACTGCAAGGTCAAGGGTGGCACAAACTGCAAAGCGAGACCCTGTATCAATAAGCAAATTAATTAAAATAAAAGGACAGGGAGTGTAGCTCAATGCAAAGGGTCTGAATTCAATCCTCAGGACAACAAATAAACCCTTCTTGTCATTTTTACTCCTCTTGCTTTTTTTGGTAGTGCGGAGGCTTGAACCCAGAGCCTTGCGCCTGCTAGGCAGGCATTGTACCACCAGGTTATGCCCCCAGATGAAAGGATGAACAGATGTCCAGGAAAGAATCTGTGTCATACACTGAGAAAAAAAAGATGTTGGAGAAGAGGTCAGACAGTAAATAGATACCTGTTCTTCTCTGGGTTTGGTGACATTTACTTACTTGATCTGTGTTTTTCTTGGTGATTCTTCTCATTCTCAGCAAGTACCTGCACTTGTCCTAATTTGGCGTCTGTCCAGCGGACTTCTTATCCTCCACGAGCCACGTTCTTCTTCTCTTTCAGTGTAAAGAACTGGCCAAGTCCAAGGCCGAGGTGGCCTGCATCGCCGTGTATGAGGCAGAAGTGTTTGTGGTGGGCACCGAGCGAGGCCGCACCTTTGTGGACGCCCGAGCGGATCTGCAGAAAGATTTTGCAAACTACTGTAGGTGCTCACAGTCCTTCCCCGTCTTTCACAGCTCTTACAAATGTTGCGGGCAAAGCCAGGTGCGGTGGCGCACGCCTGTCATCCAGCACTCGGGAGGCGGAGGCAGGAAGATCACTGCGAGATCGAAGCCAGGCTGGGCTCCATAGTGTTCAAGACCAATGTGAACTGCAAGCGAGACCCTGTCTCAAAGCACTGAGGGGGAAAAGGTTTGCAGGCCAGCCTTGGAGCCCTACAGCTCCTGTTGTGCGGTTCTGATGACCTGCCCTGCCTGGGCCGGAGGAGTCGCTGCTTCACAGCCAGAGGCTGGGACAGGGGTCTCCAGTTTGCACTCCGCCCTCCATAGTCCTGTGGGATTGTAGAATCAACCTGAAGAATATTCAGTGTCCTTCATTTGTAACATAAACCCACATTTTAGGAAATATTCTTCTATTAGTCCTTCCCAAAGAAATGGGAGAAACCCTTCCAGGGCCGGTTAGAACTAAGGTTCCAGGGCTGGTGAGATGGCTCAGTGGTCTAAAGCACCTACTTAGAACAAGCTTAGCAAAGCACAGGGACCGCGGTTCAATCCCCCAGCACCACATGCCAGCCAGCCCCGCCCCCTGGTGGGCTGAGCTGGCCACACACACACACACACACACACACACACACAATAAATAAATAAATAAGTTTTTTTTAAAAAAAGAACAAAGGTTCCTTTGCACTGAACTACATCCCCATCCCTTTTTAATCTTTAAGACAAATTCTCCTTCAGTCATAAAGTCCCCAGACGGGGCTTGAAGTTGTGATCTTCCTGCCTCCACCTCCTAGAGCTGGGATGACAGGTGTGGGTTGAGGGGCGGGGTCAATACAGTGCTCCCCAGTTTCAGATCTCACAAGAAGCAGCAAAGGTTACAGAAGGAAAGGCGTACACCACACCCAGCAAAAGAGCACGCACTTTAGGGTTAGGGTCTCTACCTCTGCGGCGCATCTGCAGAGGGCTGTTAGCCGTGTCACCCTCCTTAGAGCACAGAAGAAGAGATGGGAGTGGCGGCAGAGAGCTGCGGGCGACCCTGTGTGTGTGAGCAGAGATGGCTGCGTGGACTCATCCATATGGCGGGCAGATGGTGGGTTGGCGTGCGTGTGTGCATTCAAATCCGTGGCACAAAAATCTCTGGCCACCCAGGGAATCTGCTCTACCCTGATGTCTCCCCATTTTACAGCATGTCCTTGATGTCCAGCTATAGGGGATCTATATCTCTATCTCTGCATTTGCTTCTAATACTAATAATTTGTGTTTCTCTACCTTAGTCTTTCCAAAGATTGTCTGCCTTACTTCTCTTTCCAGTGAGCAAAAATTTGGCTTTGTTGATTTTTCGGTATTCTTTATTTTCCTCATGATTTCTTTCTGCTCTTTAAGTGCTTTGTTTTTCTAGCTGCTGCTGCCGCCGCCGCCACCACACCCAGTCTCAGTCTCAGTTGTGTCTGAGCATACCCCAGGGGCTGGGGATCGAACCCTGGCCACTGCACTCTGCCTAAGCAAGTGCTTTAGTCTGCTGAGCTATCTGGCTGCCCCTTTTCCTAGCTTCTTCTTTTTTTTTTTTAAATCTTTTTTTTTTTTTTAATTTTTATTTATGTGGGGGCAGCTCAGCCCACCTGGGGACGGGGCTGGCTGGCATGTGGTGCTGGGGGATTGAACCGCGGTCCTTTAGACCACTGAGCCATCTCACCAGCCCCTCCTAGCTTCTTGATAAGGTATCTTAGCTCTCTGGCTGTGTAGCACATGCGCTAAAGTTACAATGTCAGCCGGTGCTACACACTTTGATACATTGTGTTTGCCTGTCACTTAGTTCAAAATAATTTCCCACATCCCTCTAACTTCTTTTTGACCTTTGGTCATCAGGAAGCCTATTGTTTACTTTCCGAATATATGAGGATTTCTTTGGGCATTGGCTTTGGATTAAATCTCACTGCAGTCTGTGAAAGAGCCCATATTATCTTAGCCCTGTGGAATTATCAAGACCTAATGTGTGGCTCAGACACCACCTCTAAAAATGAGATTCTAGGGGCTGGGGAGATAGCTCAGCGGGCTAAGTGCCTGCTTGGCAAGTGCAAGGACCTGGGTTTGATCCCTAGCACCACATGCTGTGCCTGCCCCGTGCGGAGCTGGCCACTGAGACCAGGCGTCGTGGCGCATGCTTGTAATCCCAGTGTTGGGGAGGCTGAAACAGGAGGATGACTACAAGTCTGAGCTGCATAGCAAGACCCTGTACCAAATAAATATATAAGTAAATAAATTTTAAAAAAATAAAAAAGGATTCTGAGCCGGGTGTGTTGTCGTATGCCTGGAATCCCAGCACTCCTTTTCTCCCTTCTTCCTGTCCATAGCAGTGACAGGGACTGCAGGAAGGGGACACACGGACGCGCGCACGCACATACGCACGCATGCACGCACGCATGCGCGCGCAGGCTGCTGACCACATCCCTCTCGCCCTTGCAGGTGCTGCAGAAGAGCTGGGTGAGGAGAAGCCTCTGCTCCCTGCCGGCGGGATGCAGGTCGGCTCGGGGGAGGTGGAGACCCTCAGAAAGGCAGTAGAAGACTGCTTCGGCCTGTGCTACGGTAACGTCCGCGTCCACAGAGCAGCTGTTCCCAAGTGCTCTGTGGATGGCAGCGTGGTCCCTGCCAACCCACGAGAACACTGCTGCTCAGACGTTCTTCCTTGATCCTACCCCTGGGAGCCCCGTGCCATGGCCAGTGCAGTTTTATTTATTTATTGTTGGAGGTTGGCTGGGGCTTGAACCCAGGGCCTTTGCACTGAGCTACTTCGGCAGACCTTGGAGGTCTTGCAGTGTTGTCAGCTTCCCCAGGCTGCAGGCAATCTGTGACCCTCCTGCCGCAGCCTCTCAGAGTGCCAGGATTACACGTGTGCCGACATGCCCTGCTCCTGCATGCTTTTCCTGCCACCACCAAGGCCACGCGCCACCACCTGTGTTTATGACACTGCATGACACTGGCCGTGGATCGCAAGCACACGCTGTTGAGAGCCATCTGCTCCACTTGTAGGTAAAGCACTAGGCACCACCACCATGGTGCCCGTCCCCTATGAGCAGATGCTGCGGGACCCAGCGGCCGTGGTGGTGCGGGGACTTCCAGCGGGGGCGCCCTTGCAGCGGCCTGAGAACTACGATCTCCCCACGCTCCAGTGGGTCCTGGAGCACAGAGCAGGGATTTCCTTCGTCATAAACAGGTGACCCGCTCTGGGCTGTCCTGGCCACGCTTCCTTTGTGCCTGTGTCCTGCATCTGCCCGTTGTCACACGGGTATGCTGCTGCTAACATGCTGGTTTTCCTGCAGGCCGTTCCTGGGTGCTGAGAGCCAGCTGGGTAAGTGAGTGGGTCCGTCCTTGGTGGCTGCCTCCTGTCACTAGTGCACGTGCTTGGGCACAACTTGGTTCTTATTTCTCCAGTCCTGGGCATTGAACCCAGGGCCTGTGTACTGCACCCCATCCTTGGCCCTTCATCATTGTGTGTGTGTGTGTGTGTGTGTGTGTGTGTGTGATTTTGCTTTTTTTGTTTGTTTGTTTTTTTGTCTTTTTGAGACAAGGTCTTGCTAGGCAGATCAGGCTGGGCTTCAGCTCACTATGCAACCTATTCTGGCCTCAAACGCCTAATGATCCTCCTGCCTCAGCCTCCTGAGTGCTGGGATTACAGGTGTGCACCATCATGCCAACTCTTATTATTTATTTTGAGACAGGGTCTCACGCCGGGCTGGAATTTGCCACCGTTCTGCCTCAGCCTCCCAAGAGCCAGGATTTCAGGCATGCACCACCACACCTAGATGTGTGGGTGTATCTTCTACTTTATCCTTACTAAGGAGGTGTCCTCGGGCATCCAGGGCAGAGCAGTGACCTCAGGCTCTGTCCCTGCCCCTTTCTCTGGAGCTTCTCCATCCAGACCAGGGAGGACAGTGAAGCCCTATCCACATCACGCACATGCATGGTGCTGGCGTCCTGGTGTGGCCTGTGAGTCTAGCTGGAAGGCCACCTGGGCTGTGCCCCTGTGCCTGAGATACCAGTCAAAGGACAGGAGGGGAGGGGCCAGGCTGCTCTCAGGACAGCTGAAGGCCCGTCCCGAAGAGCCCTGGGTGGGGCGGGAATGTGTGGTAGGAAGGGCTTCGTGAGCCCGAGCTAAGGACCTGAATACATGGAGAGACTTTGTGTCTTCAGGGATTGGAAGATGCCTGAGAGCTGTATGGAAGCACAAGGGACCCTGGGTAGCCACAGGAATCTAGAACAAGCACAGGTTGAAAGTTTCATCCTTCCATTTCAAAACCTCTTGCAAGCCAGATGCAGTGGTCCACGCCTGTCGTCCCAGCTGTTTGGGCAGGAGGATCATGAGTTGGAGCCCAGCCTGTGCAGCCCAGGGAGATGCTGTCTCCAGAGCGGAGCAGGGCTCAGGGTCCAGCTCTATAGTGAGGCACCTCCGGGCCCATCTCCAGCACTGTAGAAAAGGGGATCACACAGCAGCAGGCTGAGATAAGTGGGGTCCCCACCTGCGGGCTCTATAGGGAAGCCCTGACGCATGCACTCAGAGGGCCTTGTGGCTGAGCACTGTGGCCACGGCAGGACCCAGAGCCCTCGCAGTGCCTGACTTCCAGTGATGAGGGGCCCCATCCCCAAGAGTAGCTGCACCAGGAGCCCCAGGTCCTGGCTGCACTGGCTGTGCCTTCCTCTGCTTCTCACGGCATGCAGCTGGAACCCTGAGCCCAGGACATCAGGGCAGGAGAGAGTCACGCTGAGGTGAAGAAGGGGGAGGAGCGGGCAGCCGGGGTGAGGCAGCCTGGGGGTAGACGGTGCCATCCTGGCTCAGCCCATTTCTGGAGCCACTGCGAGTCCTCTGCCCCCAGCTCACATGAAAGGTGGGGCCCCAGGTGGCAGCAGGTGACCCGGTGACTGTCATCGGGGTAACCTGCGCCTTTGTTTCAGAATTCTGTCATAGCAGTATTGAGCAGAAGCCAGTCCAGTGCCCCTTGTGCAGGATGTTCTGAATTCACAGTGTCAAAGCTGTTGCCAAAGAGCCGGGAGCGGTGGCGCGTGGCTGCAATCCCAGCACTTGGGAAGCGGAGGCAGGAGGATTGCTATGAGTTCAAGGCCAGCCTGGGCTGCGCAGCGAGGCCCCGGACAAAGCAGCCTCCAGCAGGTTTCCCTTGCTGCTCCTGTCCCATGACCTCTGCTCTGAGCAGCAGTCTTTGTATTTGTTTCTTGGCATGTATGTCATTGAACAATGGTCACACTTCAGGAGCTGAGAGGACTTGTGTGTGTCTTTCTACTTCCCACAGGTGGCCGTGAGACAGGGACAGATGCCAGGAGGTCCATGCTATCACCAAAGGAAAGGTAAAGAACAAATCGTAAATAAAGTCCTAGTCTGCACTAGGTGGGAAGGCGCACACCTGCCATCCCAGCACACGGGGAGGCTGAGGCAGGAAGATCACAAGTTCAAACCGAGACAGGCAACTTAGTGAGACCCTGTCCCAAAATTAAAGACACAAAATAAGGGGTAGCTGGGAAAGCAGCTCAGTTCAACATCCCCACGTTGAGTCCCCAGTATCATCATTGCTTCTCGGCCTTTCGGCTAAGACCAAGCGTGATATCAATCCCCAGAACCAAAAAGAGGGCGAGAGAGGGAGGCAGGAGGCTAAGTTCCACATCTGACCACAAATTGATAGAGGGTAGAAAAATCTTAACATTTCCAATGCAGGGGAGCTGGGCATGGTGGTACATACCTGTAATCCCAGCACTCGGGAGGCTGAGGCAGGAGGATCGCTGCAAGTTCGAGGGCAGCCTGGGCTACACAGTGAGTTCAAGGCTAGCCTGAGCTGCACAGTGAGACTGTCTCAAAAGGACAAAAATAGATAAATAAAATGAGGGAAATAACGTTGTAAGGTACAACATGAAGAGTACATACGGTACCCTTGCTTATTTTGAGTGGTCTTCCTTCTAAAGGGCGACAGGATCCCAGGATTTACACACTGACACCTTTCATTCTGTAGTACTTGAGGAGCCAGTGGGTGGCAGAGCTCAGGCAGTGTCGCATGGGTGCCAGGCTCCACGAGCAGGGGGTTCTTGGGCTTTGCATGGCCTCACAGCTGTCCTGACCAGAGTCCCCTTGTCTTTGCAGCTCTGTCCCCGTCAGTGTGAAAATGGAACCCCTGGAGGACCCCGGTAGGTGTCCTGTGCCCCTGGAGTATCTGGCAAGTTCCCACTTCTTTAAAAAACTGGGGCCCGGGGGCTGGCGAGATGGCTCAGTGGCCTAAAGCACCTACTTGGAACAAGCTTGGGAAAGCACAGGGACCCTGGTTCGAACCCCCAGCACCACATGCCAGCCAGCCCCGCCCCCTGGTGGGCTGAGCTGGCCACACACACAATAAATAAATAAATGTTTAAAAAAAAACTGGGGCCCAAGATCTGTGCCCTGTGCTGGGCCTCACAGCGTACGGGCTGAGAAACTGCCATCTAAAGTATTCGGAAGCATCTCGTTTCAGATTTTGGATTTGGTCAAATTTTGAAATACCTGCATGCACAGCAGGAGATGTCCTGGGTGGGAGCCCCAGCCTAAAAATGAAATTCATCCTTACCTTAAACATGGAGCCTGGAGGTCATTTTATATAGTACTTTTAGAACACCTGCTTCTTTTTTTCTTTTTTTTTTTTTTTTTTTTTTGCCACATTGGGGATTGAACACAGGGCCTTCACACTGAACTATATATCCACCCCTTTTTATCTTTTATTTTGGGACAAAGTCAGGACAAGTTCACCAGGCTGGACTTGAACTTCGGTCCTCCTGCCTCAGCCTCCCAGAGCTCTGGGATTTCAGGCATGCACCTTACCATGTGGGCAGTGTGTGTGTGTTGACTGTAAACCACTTAGATGAGGTCAGGTGAGGAATTTTCCAGGTCCAGTGTCAAGGCAGCACTCAGATGGTTTTGGATTTTGGAGTTTTTCCTGTTTCCGGTTTTCAGGTTAGGGAAGCTTGATCTGGAATGTTCCACTCACGCATCCGAAAATGAGAGCTCCTAGTTCAGCAAGTTGAGGGTACCGAGAAGTTCTGAAAGAGAATCTATGTGTGGATAAAATATTACTTTAGCTGTATTTGGAGCCCAAGTCTGAAATGAGCACAGTGTCTTGTGGTGCACGTGAAGTAGGCTTTCAGAGAGAGCAGGCACTTGTGTCCGTGACATGGCCCACTGCCCACCCCGCCCCCACCTCTCACTCTGTGACGTTGGTGCCGACCGGTCAGTGGTGGGGAAAGTCCCCCTCCCATGGGTGACAGCAGTTGATGCCCATCCTGCTCCTGAAAGGCAAAGCAGCAGGGATTGGAGAGAGAGGCCAACAATGGAAGATGCTTCGGAATCTCTGAAGTTCAATCCAGGGATGGGAAAATACTGAAAACATTAAAAGCAGAAAGCTCGGAAAATTTAAGCAGGCTCTAAACCGAACTCACACAGGTCAGCGGGCCTGGCTCAGCGGTGGAGGCCTTGGTCTGTGTGCCCGAGGCTCTGGGTTTCAGCCCCAGTGCTGTAAAAAAAAATAGTCAAAAGTAAAAATGTCACACACTCAGGCGTGAGAGCACAGGCCTGTAGTCCCTACACTTGAGCGACTGAGGCAGGAAGATTGAAGGTAGGCTGAACCACACAGTGAGACTCTGTATTTAA